TAGTATTATGTAATAACAAAAGAAAGAATTAATCGAGAATATAACGAAGAACTTAAGACTCTCATGTTTTGTTTTAGGAAAACTGTCTATGTAGATACAAGTATTTTCTTCATTGGATTGAGAATAATTGAGGATTGTTCTTTAAAAAATATTTTTAAAAGCATAATGTCTGGAAAGAATTGTATAATCTGGTATTCTTTATTTTTAACAGTACGGTATATAAAGTCAAGCAACAAGACAAGTTCATTAAGCTGGTCCTTATCAATAAATGAGTAAATTAGTTGGCAGCAAAAAAGTTGTAAATTCATATCGTATGGGTTCTTTCTTCTCAGTCGCTGAGAAGTGATGTCTACACCAATACGTTAAACATAATGTAGAAGCAATAATCAATAGTATTCATATAACGATATACATTACACAAATGATACCTATCTATATATGTGAAAAAGCTATTGATAGTCGTGATATTGATATCTGTTAACGGAGGCATTATTAATATCTTGGACATTGAAAACGCAAATCTTTTTTTCACCTATTAATGTGATATTAGCCAGAAACACATAAATTTAGAATGTTATTGATATTTAAATATATAAAGCGATAATTATTATTACATTATAATAATAATTTATAGATAACTTATAATAATAATAACTTATAATTTATAGATACCTATACTTCTAAGAAAGAGTGAAAGAGGGAAAAACTAAAGACTACATGGCAATGATAGCAATGAAGTCAGGGTATATGCAAAGTTCGGTATAAATTTTTCACTATGTTTATACTCGCGATTATTTTCGCAAATGTGCAGATATATGTATATGTCAAATTATATACAAAATCGATACAAAATCCACACAAAATTGTACTGATAAAATTCTTTAACTGCAAAAAGTACAGATAGCATCATCTTAAAGAAGTCATTATAAAATCGGTGAACTGAATAAACACGCATACAATAGATTCTTTCCCAAATTGAATTTATGACTTGAATCACACACCATAATTTTTTACTAGGTTTGTGTACATATTTATAATAGTGTTGCCTCTCATAATATAAATGCATATTCCAGACATTATCTAACCAATTTATATTAAATTTCTTATACTAAGCTTCGCATACTAAGCTGAGGTCCTCTTAACTCACACCTAAGAGGTGGTTTTAGTGGGTTCAAGTCTCACACTGTAGTTTTTGATGCTTTCTATTTATTTATTTATTGTAAAAAAAAAGAGAATTATGTAACCAACGGTTAAGAAAGAAGAGCTCACTGTCATCAGGTTAAAACAAATATATCGAATATTTGCTAGGCCGGAGCGCTTATCCAATATCAATCTATTGGAACGCACGAAACAAATACAAGCTACCACTAAAATCAAAAAAATAAAATGAAAGTGGATTTGTCACACACTTACAAAACTAGCATCCTATACAACAAAACAAGTTCTATGCTGAAATCCACTAGGTAGCCGCCGGCCCTGAGCTCCAGTACTCCAGGAATTAAATTACGAAAGAAGCAGGCAATAGAGTAAGATTAAGAGTAATCGTTTAGGCCCTATGCATCTCTATGACAAAAAGAAAGCAGTAAGTAAATAAATTTAAATCGCAATAATTTCAATCACTGTTTTTTTTTTGGAGTTCAAACATTCCCAATAACAGCAATAAATATAATTGGAGTTAAAAATATGGGGACTCTGAAAGATATCAATTAGAAATGCACTTAATGAGTTCAAAAACATGAAAATTTAATTTTTTATATTGAAAATGATTAGATGTCTAATGGCACTTTTATTCTTCTATAGCAAAATTATTTTATTTTCTTTTTCTCTGACATGTTTGTTATTGATCTTTCGACTGTAGACGTTGTCCGAAGTGTATATCGTTTAATGTATGTTTTGTTAAAAATTGAATATGATATATTTTAATTTAATTATATTAATTAAAATATAATTAAAATCGTAATTTTAAATTTAAAATCTAAAACGAAAAATTTAAATTAAAGTAATAAAGTTAAAAAAATTAAAACCTAAAAAATAAACACTTCATCGAAGGTGAAATTCGAATATGAGCCTTCAGTTTTCTCCTAATAAATTTCGCTTAATGTCTGAGTTTATTATCTTAATTTTCAAAAGGTAAGGTATTAATTATATTCCTGATATATGTTTATTTAGAAGCATCTAGGGCTTTGATAGAAGGACTTATATCTAAAATTATAGGCCTGTATGAGTATCTGGCCTTTACTTCTCCACTGGAAACACAACAATACATGTACACAAGTATACATACATAAGTATAGTATATGGTCTAATGAATAATATTTTATACAAAATTCAGGTTTATTTGTAAAGACATATGTTCTAATTAAGGTCATGATAACATATGCATACACTCATGGTCATATCAAATGTAAAATTGTTGCTGTATTCAATGTAAGTTGAAAATTTGGAAAAGATATGAAGATAGAAGTTTTGATGCAATCTCGGGCATGTTGACCAGACCTTCTACATTTTGCCATTTTAGTTAAAGATTGTTACTTAATGGAAAAATATTTTTTCTTTATTTGTGGTCAATGTTTTCTAGATTTATTTTAAATATACCAATAATACTGTATGATGTTTTTAGTTTCAATCTAATCAATTAATATTTTACGATACTTGTCCAAAAATACATAAATTATATTCTTTCTGAATCACTGGTCACTGTTTACGATTAAGTCAGGTGTGTAGTGATGAAATCATGAAAGCATTTATCTACGGCAATATAACGTATGAAGAATTCCATATACTACTTCAACATATATATGAACGGTACTCAGCTTTATAAACCTGTAACCATTCTTTGAGTCGATAATACACAAACGTGGAACTCACTTAACTCACTGCTTTCTCATGAACAAATACCATAATCATGTAAAATGTAATACTCATATTCTTTTCATATCTTTATTAATTCTTAATTGATTCTTATTAATAATATTATGCTATATGAAGTATCAGGTTCATTGTGGATTAAAGAGTATATCAGGGTTGCGTTTAAGTTCAGTACATTTCTTTTGCGTATTATTAATATACGTATTATTTTTTTTTAAAGTTGTTAACTAATGATTTAGTTGTCATCAAATGTTTATAATCATTTATATATGAGACCAAAAACTTTTTAATTCACCTATTTTATATGTTTAATATGTCAGTACGCTTATATATATTTCTATGACTAGATTTTGAACTGTATCACTTTATTATTGACGAAACCTAATTTCAGTCACGTATAGTTGTTTTTTACACTTAACAATATACAAAATACTTAAGATGTAACCCTGGGGAACAAGAAGCCAAGTAGGACTGCAAATAAAATAAATATAACAGTTAACAGATGGTGGGCGAAAGTCATCAACAGCTGGTAACCAGACGCAAGTGACAGAAGAAGACAAAGGAGACTCCTATACATGACTGAGACTCGGTGTGCGTTATTATAATTTTGAAGATGACAAGTTGTCTTTGAGTGGGTATAAAAATAAAGAACTAGAAAATTAATTCCATTTCGAATCTTAGTCTTACTTTAGATTTGGGTAATATTTTGTAATAAAATAATGTAAAATTTTTATATTAGTTTTAAGTTTTATAATAAATTGGTTTTTTATTATCACCATTGCAAACATAGTTCGAAAAAAAATTATTTTATAAGATTATTAAATTTAAATCCGATGTTTAGTTGACTTGACGTCGGCTACTTATTTATAACAAAGGATTATGTACAAGATTTGAAAAATGAAGATAATTATGATTTTTAAAATTTAATACCTTTAAAATCTATCTCTAAACATTTGCTTCTGTTCCTGACGAGTTAATTTTCATTTTCAGATTTTAATATTTATTAAATCTTTTCTTAAATCAGTTATATACTAATTAAGCTTAAAGTTAATAAATTGATTTATTATAAAAATAATTCTTATATATTATGCCCCTGAGAAGTTTTTGAGCAAATCTACAGTAGTTTGATCAATACGATATAGTTATGGCATTTTCGATTGATGAATCTAAATTCAATCTAGATTAATTCTCGATCTGTCAAATTATGTTACCCAATCGAACGTTTTTCGTGTAATCTAACATTTTTGTAATAATGTTAGTAGTTATTTATATTTTTCATAGATATGTACCATATATCAAATCAAATCACTATTTATTTGTCAAGTTATATAAATCAGCTGTTTACTTCAAGGTAATTTTGCTAATCTGGCAAAATATTTAGAGTGTTATAAATTAATCTCGAGTGTAATACATTTTACTCGAGATTTACTACTCGAAAATGAAAATTGCACTAAAAGTGAATCTCGATTGAAAAAGTTACCCCAGATCTACCAATCGAAAACGGCATTATAGTTAGAAATTTATTTTAAATTAGTTTAAATTATTTTGGTTTAATGTTAGAATTATTTTACAACTTTATTAAAAATATCTTTTCTTCCTAAAAAGGGCAATAAAAAAGTTAGATGAAATTTAGAAGAATAGTGATTATACTGTCACATTAGGCAATATATTGATGGCTTTTCGTTTCAATCTGGAAAGCATGAAACCAAGAAGAAGGTATTCTTCATGTTTTTTTTTTATATTTAATTTTAATTTAATACGAATTCTGTCAAATAATGTTGTGACATTTTATAATTTCTTGATAAATAGATTTAAGATCTGATTATAAGATTCTTCATAAGTAGAATAATTACTAGTTATTGTCTCAGAAATGTTTAAATACCAAGAGTGCGACAATTAAATCTAAGTTGGAAAATTTGCCGTAATAGTTCTAATTTATTGGAAACTTCTTTTTTGTAGCATTATAAAGGTAATCAGGATTGGGAGTGTTAGTCTCATTGATACCATTATTCCCAATATATTAGAATGTCGCTGTAAAATCTGTCAGCCAACGGCATATCGGTATAAAAGTAGAGATAAATTATTTCTCTTTTTTTTTTTTAATCTGTATAACTAACTGTATTTGCACTTACACAATAGGAATTCCGGCAATTGACTCAAATTGATAGGCGGAACACGATCGTCACATTTGCCATTGGACAAGATATCGCTTTTGAACATCATTAGTTTCAAAAGTTCCATACTGCAATTAAAGTCGATTTAAGCACTTAATTCTTTAACTTCGCTAGCACAACTATCATGTTACTGGATTAACACACAATGCACACACACACACACACGCACACACAGATTGGCACCTGTTATTGAAGTAACGGATTTGACACTTAATTGCACTGTTTCATAGCCTGGATTTAAGCAGCTCGAGTGCAGGCCAAATTGCTAAGCTTTACTGATTTGACTTAAGATATCGATTAGCGATTAGCGATTAGTCAATTTAGGTATCACAGATTTTTAATTAATATTTAATAATATGAATAATGCGACGAATTTATGTTACAAGACCAGTAGTTATATTTAAGAATTTAATTGTGAGACTTTTCAGAGTAGTTAATCACGAGAACGACAACGACTATGACTATAGCGACGTAGGCGAGTACGTGAGTAAAATTGCCACATATTCCGCACACTGAATTAAATCTTTAAGCCGTTTGATAAAAAAATTTCATTTGAACACACTAAACGTTTTTAATTAATTTGTATTAATATTTTTTTTTTTCAATTTTAAGACAATAAGAAGTGAATATACAGAAGCCAGCAGATGTAAGTGCTTTGTATAATTACGCGTTAGAATTTGCTTCTTATGATTGCGATAACAAATCAATGTAAACCACACCGAACGACCTTGTCGAGGTGAAGAATCAATTTGAAAGCAACAGCGGCCAAAACAAGTGTGCTACGCTTCGAACTAAGAAGAATGACTGACTGACGACCGACCGATTGCATGAATGAGTGGTTGGTCTGTTTGTTAGTTGGTTGGTTGTCACTTTGGTAGTTTGTGCAATAGCAGTTACATCTGTACACTGCGCCAGCCTTTATTTTTGTAGTTATGTATTTTTTGTTTGTTTGTTGTATTTCCATCAAGGGGTAACAATGCCGAAAACGCTCAATACTTTTTTCTTTTTTCCGCCGTTGCTGCTACTGACATAATCACTGCCCTACCCCTAAACGAATGTTTTATTCGACCTCTTGATTCAGTATTTGCTACACTTCCAGTGGAATTTCAATTGGAATCGTTTGTTGTTTTTGTTATTGTTGTTGTTGTTGTTGTTGTTGTGTTTGCAATATTGCCATTTTATGTGCTTTGCGTATAATTGCTGTACTGAAACTTGCACTACTGCTCGTGCTCAACTCATTGTTCCCAGTGCTGCACCCTGCGCAAGTGGAATTGAAACACTGCCCGTTCAAAGCAATTCAAATACAATATATATTCGCATTATTCGTATTATTTTATTATTGTTTGTTTTTTAAAAATTTTTTTAAATTGTTTAACTATTTTTAAATTAGGGTTTAAACAAAAAACGTTGGTTTTATTTAATTGTATAATTCGTGAAAATATATGTCGAGAGAATTATTTAGTTAATAAAAGTTAAAACTCTCTTATTGAATGAAGTGGTTCTTTGTCAGCACACTTTTAGGCTGAACATCATTTTAATAAACAAAATAGTGTTTGTTTGAAAACGAAAAGCGCGTACAGGATAATTAATTTAATAAAACTCTCGACATAGAAAAATTGTTGTAAACTATTAATTCAGCTGGATACATTTGTTCGGCATTGCATATTCCAGCAACAAAAAAAAGAGCAAATGCGCATAAATGAAGGAATGGCGACAATATGAAACAGTGTATTGAGCTTCAAGGAAAACAGGAGTATATTGTATTAACACTCGATTGGTTGTTTTTGTAGGTATGCATATTTGGGGAGTGGTCTTTTTTCTCTATGAGAGTATGTATCTTCGTCAGTCGGTCTGTCTGTTTGTTGGGTTGTTGGGTTGTTTGGTTGTTCGATTATTCGTTTGTTTGTGTTATATTGTGTGCCTATCTGTTTAAATATTTTCACATTTATATCTGACTAAACGTACAAATGTGTAAACTTTATATTTTGCTAAAAATATTTTTATATTTTTATTGAAAACGTTTCAAATGCACTCCTTTTGGGTGTGTGGGTTGAAATGCATGGCAGTAAAACAACAACCTTATAGCATTTATGAGTAATCAAGGTATGTATGCGATAAACTTTATACTATTTGTGTGTTTGTGCACATCTAAAAATACATACATATGTAGAAGCTCGCAAAAATAGGTATAACTACGGGTACATCATCAAAACAATATTTGTCAGTTTATTAGAATAAACTATACATAGTCATGACTGCAGTTACGCAGTTACGCTGTTGGCTTGTATGCTTGTGTGTGTTTAAGGCTTTATACATACGCTCGCTTCTGTGGCACGAAAAATATTTTGTGTCAAATGCGAATTTTGTACCCAATTCAGTTGTACTGCTTCAATGTGTATATCAAATGTTTGCGTACACACCGTCAAACATTTCAATACGCACGCTGCACAGCCTTTCGCACTTTAAATATGTACGATTAATGGAAAAAATATATAAAAATGTACGCACTCGTCAATTATTGGGTTTAAAGCTTTAGCCGCTTGAGCAGCTTGAATTGTATTATGCCCTTTAATGCTGGCTTGAAAGACTGACTTTTATAAGTTTTTAGGTTGTTTTTATTTTACTATTATGAATTAATTTATATTAAAGGATATTCAAATAAATTTTTGAGTTTTTTTTCAACTAAGCTTAAATTTTTGTAAATGTTTTTAAAAAAAATTTTATTCTATCGCCGCTTTTAATAAAAAAGCTAGGAAGCAAAACTTAGAAAACTGAACTGTAAAATTTTTATTTAAAATACATTTTCTTTTATAATTTAGTTCATTTCGATGAATACTCAATAAGTCTTAATATCATTATAAATAAAATGTAATTAACAACTATTTTTTTCTTTTTTTTTTTTTGTTGATTAGTAATTTTAAATATATTATATATATTTTTTTTAATAATTTGTTTGAGTGGGCTAATTGGTCAATTTAAATACAAAATGATAACTATAATTTACTATTTATATATAAACAAGTTATATTTTATTAAAATATTGTTTCGACTATCTTCGAACAATATTTTAATTATATATAGATTAGATTTTAAGATGAGTTGGGAACTTGTCACCACGTCACTGCATCCTGTAAGGATTATTCTGACAACAGTCATTTTCACTTCAGTTCCATAGACGAGTAGTAGTTAAAAACGCCATTATGTTCTTTGGAAAGTTGTTGCCTAATTACGTTATAAGTGGATAGGCAGTGGATAAGTACCGAATTCTAAGTCTGGCGGGACTATCACAGTGACACAGAATGTGTTCTGCTGTACGAGTATAAGTTGTTTAAATATAAATAATAGATTATAGTTTTTATTTTGTATTTAAATTGATCAATTAGCTTGCTCAAACAAATTATTATATAATAATTTTTGGTGACGAAAAAAGAAAATAATTTTTTTTAAAATGTACTAAGCTGGTTATATACTGGGTTTTTTATATACTCCCAAAAGTACATATAAAAGTGAAGATAACGATTTTGATCAAATTTTTATTTCAATATATAGTTTGGACTTTACTATTAGGCGTGAAATACAAAATCATTGATATATTTCAGTATAGAAATTTTTTAAGGTATTTTCTGATGATTTATCGGAAAATAACTGGTTATAGCTTAGTTGTAATTTGACGAATATTTGTCAGTGTGTTTTAAAATATCAATAGTTTGAAGATAACTCCCATAAATTTGATTCTTTCCGTAATATCACAAAGCACTAATCGCATAATTTTGTTAGTTAATTCAGATCGCTAAAAGATTTTTGGATATCGAAAAGTTTCTAGCGTAACAAAGCTAAAGCAAGACATGTTGTATAGCTTGCAGCTTATAGTATTCTCCTTTTAAACGTACGTATCTTTCATATACAGAAATATACTATATACTATACTATACCATACATATATTTTTAATACTATATATTATCTTCAGTATTACCCGAAATAAGGCTATAAAAGAGAAAAACCTATTTTAATGGGTTGTGTATTAAATTTCTTAAGCTAAGTTTGTCTACTTCATAGCTTTTCGCAAAGTTAAAAGTTATTTAAGACAACAAATCTTTGCTCATTATATCATTTTAATTGTTAAACTATGAAAAATATTTGTCTTTCAAAATATATTTTTTTCTATTTATCATTAGAAACTTGTATTTATTGGAAGCTATGAGTTCCCATAAACTATTATTAAATTAATGTTTAATTAATTTAATGTAATTAAGTACATACCCTCGTAACTGATTGTTGCATTCTCATTTATTGAAATAAATTTTATTTTAAAAAGTTATGCGAGTTTGTTTTAAACAAAATCAGGGCTCCTTCATTGAATGGTGTAGTGTAAACAGTTTATTTTAATTGAGATAAAATTAATAGTTGAAATTTCATTATTGTAATAAGTTGAAACATATTATTAGGTAAGTATATTGATATATATTTAACATCAGATTTGTAATTTCAATCAACAAGAGTTAAATTGCTATTTAATATCTTAATCACTCCAGAAGAATAAAGTGTAGTCAAAAAATATCGAGTTGATTAAATTTCTACTATTTTGGATACCCTGACATAATTGTTTCCTGTTATTCAGGTTAATTTTGCTTTAGCTGGGTAGATCATGTGCTCTTTATTGTAGTTTCAGTTTTAATTGCCCTAGTTACTGGAATTGTTACCATCCTATTTCTTGTAAATTGTGGGAAGAAATTTTTATCGTTTATTACGGTTTTTTTATCCCACTATGAACATAGAAAACTTAGAGGCTAGAATGCAATAAGAATGTGGTACGCGTTAGTTGAATTCGACAAAATATATTGAATATCACAATTTAAAAAAGTATGTAAAACGATTAAAGGCAGTTAAAAAATTGAAAAGTGTTTAGTTTTTTATAAAAATGAAAATACCAATACACTACACGCTTTTTTTGGATCTGTAAGCTAGCACTTTTCAATATTTTTGATGCTGTTTAACATTAATACTTATTTTAATCGTTTCTAGTAATGTTTGCTGGAATCTTTGTTCGTTTTTGGTTGTTTTTTTTAAATTAGAGATTTTTACTGTCTCCTCGGAAATGGGAAAAACGAGGCAATGAGCACCAAAATGCTCCAAAGAA